AAATTGTGCTGAACATTGTGTAATCATCAGCAAACATGTCCACTTCTGACCTTTAGAATTGAAGGAATGTTATTGATGAAGCAATTGAAGATGGTTGGCCAAAGATCTCCTGCAGAGATACGTTGGATATGAGATGATTGATCGCCAAAAACCACAACCATCTTCCTTTGAATTTGCTGTGGTTCCCCTCCAGATATTCCAGTAGCGCATCTGGATCCTGTGGAATCCTGGATGCAGTGTACTCGGTGGAAATTGCCCAGGAAATTGAAGATTCTGATGAGCGATTCCCCAGCATCTGAAATCCTCTAGAAAATGTCCCTTAACATCAGACAATTTGCTGAGTTTGGCTTCCGTCAAGATAATTTGCCCACAAAATGCTAAAAGCAATTTTCAATTGCCCGACTCCTGGGTAACTATTAACCTGACCTTCATGCCCCGCCAAGCACCAACCCCACCCCTTCCAACTACACTTCCTAACATTGCCCTCTTCCCCTCTCCCAGCCGCTACTGCCCCTCCCACCACAACCTTGGCCTGAAATGTGACAGCCCTGTCACTTACCCTGCTCTCTCTATCTGGGCCCACGGGCCCTCAAACTCCTCCAGTGGCCCTGATGTTCACTACTTTCCTTGCTACTGACCCCAACACACACAAACTTGCTCACCCCGACCTACCCCAAGATCTCTGTCACTTAGCTGCCACCATAACCCCACACTTGCCTTCCACACTCCCTTTTCATAGCAGCTGTCAAGGTGTCAGGCTGTTTTGTTGGACATTTAAATCTCAGAACACAGCACTGATAGCTAGCTGAGAAAAGAGCCATGGTTTGACTTGTCTTGACTATCATCCCTACAGGGGAGGGGATGGAGCTATTGATTTCAGCTACATTCCACATTTCTAAAGGAGCCAGGTTCCAAATTCTCAGCTAGAAATGCAGAGTTAACTGTTAACGTGAAAAGAATGATCCAAGTGGCAAACCGACTTTGATTGCTCCCCACACTCATCTGGACTCATGGACTCCATTTTGCAGAGCATTACATTTCACACTTTCTTTCCTGAACACTTCAGCATTTCTTACGGATTATTACTGGTCTCCTGAAAATCATTCTCTGACCGTGATGTTCTGTTAAATTGCATCTGAAGTTTCCTCAATTGCTGTCTGAACTTAGTTAGCACTGTCATTCTTTTCTATTTGAGTATGTGCTGTTGAAGGTTTGATTCAAGGTTAAGGAACTCCTCTTTGCCTCCCTCTGTTTGCAGTTTCTTGTCCATATGATCCTTTTCAGCATACCACATGATGCCCTGCTCTGCTTTCAGTCTTTCATGGTCAACTACTGTGCTCTTATTCTCATGTTTCTTTTTGAAATAATGTAGGTTTGTATCAATCTCTTTTTTTCTCTGCCTGAACTTTCTAAATGAGCTCTTTTCCTGTTTCTGTCAAGAACTCTGCATGTCTCTTAGTGTTGGACTTGAGAATTTCAATGTCTGACTATAGTCCAATTAATTTGGCTTTATATGTTAGCTCTCTCAGCGTTAGACCTTATCCACTCCTTTGACTCTGATTCTGGCAATCATTTTCTTATGCAGTGCAAACATTGAACAGCACTATCTTCAACCTTCATTGAAATCTCCTTCATCTTGTGGTTTACTGAGATCAGGTGCAGCTCCTCACAAGAATTCAGCCCAAAGACAGCAGGACCATCTGTTTCTGTGACACAAGATGCAGTTAGTGTCTTTTCCTCTGATTTGAGTCATTCTAGTTGTCAGATGTGCTTTTCAACATCGACAGTATTTATTTCTTGTTTTGAATATGACATCCTGGGTTTGAGGAGATGAGCATTGTACATCAGAAAGAAGGAAGTTAATGTTAGATAATACAAGTTGCCTACCGGCCAAGACGAAGTTTGAAGTGTGGAGAAAGAATGAGTAGAGAGGAACGTTTGGGAGAAACTGAATTGGCAGGTGTGAGGAGCTTGTATAAAGATTTGAGCAGTAGAAGGGCTAAAGTAAAGCGGCTTTGCAGAAGCAGAATTAAATATTTCTGTCATTTGTGTTTGGAGTTTAATTAGAACTCCAACAGGAATCAAAGACAAATTATTTGGAATCAAATTTGTTGAACAGCAATGACAAACTGGGTGGTTGGAGTTCGTGTAAAAGGAACAAAATTCACGGTGAATACAAAGTAAGGTTTCAATCTCTGATTTGCTGTAATTTGTTCAGGACTTAAAATTAGACTGGCAGACTCATTATAGACACAGTTCTGAGCTTGAAAAAGAATATTAGCCTACATGTGAACATTGACTGAGGACTGATATATGAAGGAAGAAAAATGATTGAGCCACATATGTTTTGTTTTTGAGGACTGCTAAGGCACAAGAGAGGAAGGAAAACGTATTTCTTGAAATAACCTCACTGTAGACAGTAGAGTGGGAGTGAAATCACACTGACATTTCAATAGCAGTAAGCAGTGTTGGAGAATATCATTCATAACATTAGTTAGACTGGCCTCGATGATGTAATCTGGCCACGGTTTGGAGAGAGAGGCATAAAGCTAAAGAGCTGTGGATGCTCGGTTAGCAATACAACGGGGAAAACAGCAATTTTTTTATTGAAATGCAATGATGGATATTAGTGAAAATGGAGAAAATCAATGTTTTCAAAAGGAGATATGTTTCCAAGTACACTTCAACTGATCAAAAAGGTAGAAAACAAAGTCTTTTGGCATAAAATACAAAAATCTAATATTACTGCCATTTGTCTTAGAATAATCATCAAAATTCAAACTAACCTGTCACCTTAAATTTCCCAAGTATATAGTAAGATATTCTCTCTCACTTGTGAGAAGGAAATGAGGTGTTGTTTGACAAAGACCAGCACACCTGAGTTTCTTGCTATAAGATTCCCATGTTTATACTGAATCTAGTTAAATCATACCTTGCAAATGTGGGCATTCTGTCTCTGCATAGATTCATTCTCCACCTTTATAAGGTTGCGTTATTCGGTATTACAACTTTTATCTGGTCAAATTGTCAGCCCAGAACTTTTATCTGGTCAAATTATTTATAACATCTTAAAGTGAGAATGCTGTGAATTTATTCATTTCTTATATTTTATTCATAAAAACACTTATTTATAAAGAAGATCATTTGATAATTTTTTTTGTCTTATTCAGTATGGTGTAGTCGTATGGTGCGTCACAGCGCCAGGGACCTGGGCTCAGTTGCCTGAGGGTTGGATTGTGTGGAGGTTGCACATTCTCCCTGTGTCTACATAGGTTTCCTCCCACAGTCCCAAGGTGTGCAGGTCAGGTGGATTGGCCATGCTGAATTGTCTCATGGTGTCTAGGGATGTGGATTAGCCATGGGAAATGCGGGGGTTGGGAGTCTTTTTAGAGGGTCGGTGTGGACTCGATGAGCCGAATGGCCTGCTTCCACACCGAAGAGATTCTATGATTCAGTCAAAGTCACACAACACCTATTAGTTACAGGTAATATCTGTAGGTTTCTTAACTCATGTATTTTATCTTAAGAATTCCTTTTTTATGTAAGAAAGCAACTTCAAGTAGGTGCTAGCCTGTTCAACTTACTATTTAATTAACTACATGTGATATCCTGAGATAACAAGGTGTAGAGCTGGATGAACACAGCAGGCTGAGCAGGAAGGCTGACGTTTCGGGCCTAGACCCTTCTTCAGAAATGATACCTTAATTTTTTTTTTCTAGACCTGTTTAACCTTAAGGTGAACTACTTTTTTTTAAAAAAAGTTGATACATTCCAGCTGAGAGACTGGGATGAGAGGATCTCCGTTATTACCTGTACACTGAATCATTATCTTTTCAGTGTAATATTTTAAATATGTCTCAACTGTACCCATTTAGCTGCGTTGTTCACAATTGTGTCTATACTGCATCTTTTTACATGCTAACCCAACTCCATGCCACTTACATCCCCAGAGGAAATAGAAAGTAAAATGCTGGAAACATAAAGCAAGTCACGCAAGGGCAGCGGTTCATTGAGGTGTGTCTGTGCTCTAATTCCTGTGACTTTTAAGTGTGCAATTACACTCAAAGCAGTTGTGTCAGTGCTTCAGTTGTTGTGTACACACAGCGTAAACATAGAATGAAAAGACCTGAGTTTCCCTGGAGGGGTGTCACATGCCACTGAGCTGTCCCTACAGACTAGGCAGCAACACTGCACAAATTTAGTGTCCAGGTAAACACTTTACATGCAAAGATGTTAAAAAAAAATGACCTTTAGGAAGCACTTTGGGCCATGCTTTCTGGTGCCTTGGCTTTTCTCCCCTCAAAGCTCACTGCCTCTTCAGAGATAGTAAGAGCTGCCGATGCCGGAGTCAGAGATAGCACAGTGTGGAGCTGGAGAAACACAGCAGACCAGGCAGCATCAGAGGAGCAGGCACTCCGAGATAGAAAGAACTGCCAATGCTGGAGTCGGAGATAACTGCTCCCCTGATTCTGCCTGGCCTGCTGTTGTCCTCCAGCTCCACACTGTGTTATCAATGCCTCTTCACATCTTCCTTGAAACCTGCCTCTTTGACCAAGCCTTGTCTCCCTTTGTAATCTTTCCTTACGTGACTTGGTGCCAAATGTAATTCCATAACACTCCTGTGAAGCTACTTCAGACTTTGCACCAAGCTAAAAGTGAAATAAATGCAAGTAGCAAGATGGGGTGAATAAAACTTTCTTTCTTTAACTGAGTGGATGTTTTTTCTTAGTTATGGCATAGATTTTCCTAAAAATATCTGGGAGAGGGAAGAATTTTGTGATTTTTAACAGAAGTAACTGACAATAACAAACCCCAGTTCACTCCACTTGTTTTTATTTACCAACACGTTGAGCAGTTTTAATGGTGCTTTCGTGGCTATGTTTTGGAGCAGGAATAGAAAGTGAAACTGGTTACTGAATTTGCCAGGTTTTGTTTCTCCCAGATTAAATGCTTCAATTACAAGGACCCAGCTACGTACAGGGAGTGATGTTAATTATTTGTATTTTGGAATTGAAAGTTACACATGTAGTTTGTTGATGTTAAGATTTGGTTTTTAGTTTTGTTTTCCTGGCAATGACGTGGCTGCAAGAGTTTTAATGAAACCTAACCGAGGCTGTGGCTGAGGAACTCAGAGAGATAGAGAGAGTAGTGGAGGAGAGGCACAGAGACAGGAGGAGAGGCGAAGAAACAAAGAGAGACATAGCCAAAGACAGGAGGAGAGAAAGAGACAGGAAAAGAAATGTAGAGAGATACACAGAGAGAGACAGAGAGAGAAGCATAGAGACACTACTTCAGAGGCTTTGGCAGCTGCTAGTGTTCTCATTATTAGTTGTCAGGGGAGCTCAATGTTTTGCAAAATGCTACTCCTCCAGTTGAAGAAAGACACTCATTCCTGTTGAAGCAACCTCCGCCCTCTATGACATTGCTGTCCTGGTGAGTTGTTGATTTCCTGTGATTCTTTTTTTTGTTTTGTTATCCTGGGGCAACATTTTCAAATCTGTGTGTCCAGTCGCAACAATGGGAACTTGCTGAGGGTTAGGTGGAGTTAATTGCCCTCCCTAGTGATTATCTGGAAATTGAGAGCTTGTACTAACTGTTTAATGTTCCCCTTATTTGAACCATTAAAACCTGTGCTGCTGCTGACCTTACTTTTCAAACATTTTTAGTTCTTAATATAGAAAGATATCAACATTGTTTCAGAGATAGTAGTAGGAACTACAGATGCTGGAGAATCTGAGGTAACAAGGTGTAGAGCTGGATGAACACAGCAGGCCA